TGATGTCCTTATAGTGTTTAGAAAAGTTTGAGCTGATTTTGATTTATTAATTTTTATTTTGAACAGGAGAAGGAACTCTCGTAGAAGAAGAGTAAAATACGCCATCTTGGATCACAACAGAGAAGAAGGAATTCAATCAAGAATGTTTGCTAAAGGTAATAAGAACATTACCAGTGTACCATATCACATGACTATCACATGACTGTCTCATGTGTTGATTGCAGATAAAAGCAGTCTGATAGTGAGTGAGACTGAGACAGAGATATTGTTTGAATCAAAGAAGAAAGGAGGAGGAGGAGGAGGAGGGAAGAGTGAGAAGCAGGCACTGATTAATCAACCTATTAATAGTAACAGGGTTAAAAATAACCTAACGGAATCTTCCGGAAGATCAAAGAAGACTTTGAATAATGTATCGTAACTGCAGCCACTCCTCCCAAGTATTAATATAACTACATAATTAATAGTTAAGTAATTTTAATAATAACTAATCATTTTTTCACTGTCATCATAATTATTCATATTTGATTTTTTAATTAATTTTCTGCTTAATAATAATAATAATAATAATCATTATTATTATTATTAAACTCAATTATTGCAATAATAATAATTATTTTTAATTTTTACATGATTACTATCACTCATCTAATAATGAAATATTTGATAAGAGATTAGCCATCATTTAATACATTATGCTGATGGTATTGATATGTATCAGAAAATGTCACAATTTTTAAAGCCAGTTTTGTGGACTATGATGAGGAGAATAGAGCATCTTGACAGTATTTTGCCAATTTCTTCAAATGCAAAGTGTATGTACCATCATTTATCAGTTCAGTTATTTTGAATGGTGTATGTACTATCTGTCTTTTTCCATAAAAAAACATTTACCATTAAAAAATGTACACATGCATTTTGTTTGTTTATTCATTAACTTTTAAAGAATAACTTCCTAGTGATCATTAATCTACCTTCTATTTCTTATTTCCTTTTTCCCTTATGTACCCACTCTCTCCTATTCTCCTTTAATATTCTCTCCTCTCTCTCTCTTTCTACAGTCCTTACAATAGTAGTTGCTAATAAACATCCAGTTATTACACTACCAACTGATCATATTAAGATATTCTCCAGTACATGGCCTGATTCATCACCAGGTGTTACTTATCATTATCATTGGAGGAGATTGTTTGGTCCTAAGAAGGGAAACCTCAATGGAGTCAATGATAAAACCATCTCATTGAGTCACGTATGTTATAGGGAGGGAGGGAATAAGAGATACATGTCATTTACATATTATGTTGACCTGTCATATGTTCACACTCAAATTATTGTTAAATTTACAAAACAAGGATATTATGTATAAGCAGTGATTGTTTTAAGTAGATAAGGTTGTAAGAATGTATGTTCATGTAAATGCATATTTTATTAAGTATCATGAGTATCATATTTGATAAGTACATCAAAAATATTCTTAAAGCTTGGCCTCTCATAATCCTTATGTTTTCGGCAGTTTATCATAAGTTGATCAAATGGTTCAAGACAACCTCTTGGTATGTATATACAATCGCCTTTTGATACTAATTCACGTACCTCATTTGTAGTTATGCCAGGGTATACATCTCCTTTGGTAACCATTTCCCATAGTAATATACCAAATGACCAAACATCAGATTTAATACTTAATCGTTTTAAAGTATAAAATTCAGGTGCTGGCCATCTTATAGCTAGCTTAGCTCCTTCCTCAACAGTCCAGTATTTATTGCCATTGAGGTGTTGAGCAAGATGAAAGTTTGCTATCTTGACAGTGTTATGATCTCCTAATAGTATATTGGCAGCTTTTAGACTGCAATGAATGTAATCTTGTTCTCCTAGATACATCATGCCATCAGTGACTTGAATAGCGATATCTACCAACTCTGCTGGTGTAGGATTATATGAAGTTAGGTAATCTTTGAGATTTCCATTCATTGATTCTGTTATAATGTAAAAAGGATAGCTTTCAGTACAAACACCATATAAACTGATGATGTTTTTATGCTGGAGGTTTATCAATGTGTTTGCTTGTTGAAAAAATGTTTCTTGTGTAATATTTGCTGATACATTTGTCTTAACAATAACTGGCCCTTTACCTTTACAATTACCCTCCCATGTCTCTCCAAAGTGTCCTACATTTGTGCACTTTGATAAATTGATTGAAATCCTTTTCTTTTCCCACTCTTTATTTATTGCAATGGGTATGTTTGCTTGTTTGGGTATAGGAACTTTTAAGGAGCAGGTCAGACCATCAGCTTTCATCATGTAGTGATGTACCAGGTCATTGAGTGAGTTAAACTGAATATGAGGGTTTATATAATATTTATTGTTCTCACTATTTATTTGATAGTGCATGATAGTGAATCCATCATTAAGTGAAAGGGTGTGCTGTCTAGGATTGCTTTCACTATCTCTAATTAGGAAAGTACCTGCTTGAGTGTCTGCTTGACTCAGTCTCTCCTTTGCTTCATTACGACTCACTGTATGATAGTAGATGTACTTGTAGTACCTAGTGAATAAAGGAATGGTACCATTTGATGTCACTTATTAATTACATCATTATTATTTACTTTAATAGAAATTGCTAATTCCAGCTATTTTGTTAATAAATATGTTTTTAATGCATGTATACATTGAGATGCAAACATGCAGGCAATCACAAAAGTTGCCTGGGGTGTATGTTGGGACTATAGGTTATTAGCGGTTATTCATTTAAATTTGTGACCAAACTAGAAAACAATGCTGAAACTCTGCATTGCTATATTAATTTTCTTACATTTTTGATAGTTCTCCTTTAATTGGTATCATGTATTTAACTGGGACACAGCCATTATTGTCTGTATGAAGTGAATGCATATACCACCAATCACCATCTTCAACATATTTAACAACTTCGAGTACTTCTCCTATATAAAAAAGAAAAAAGTAGATTGATGAGTAAAGTTTTTGCTCATTTCAACAATGAAATCATTAATTTAGTGGTTTCTTTATTGTCGACAAGCATACCTTTTTTAATAGTTAAGTCTCCTAGCTTTAATGCTTGGACATTACAACTAGCAACAAACACTTTTGTATGAAAAGAAGGATAAAACAAGCACAAAGATACATTGATTTACTTACATTTTTGCTCTGATGTTGGCATCCTTAATGAATGTAACTCCTTGTGTCCATTTGTACTTAACTGTAGTAATTCATCCTTTTTGAATGAAATAACTGGGTCATTATAATCATCTTGAGCTTCACAGATAGATCCATTGGATGATAGTACAGTCTGTGTGGCTTTTTCTATTTTGTGTGTTGATTGAATAAAAAGTGTTACATTAAAATAAAGATATTTACGGTAAGTTTGCATTTTCAGCAATTTTACACTAATAGATGATATACTTTCCTGTAATTCCTCGATCTCTTTTTCATTGTCTTGTAGTACTTCCTTTCGACCTGTTTTAAAGTACATGTATTATGTCATTAGAAGCTAATGAATCATGTATATACTTATTCTGATCCTCAGAGTAGATTGTAAATGCTCATTTTCTTTTAGTAACATTCGCTTTTTTGTGTTTGCAGCCTTTTCTCTTTCAATTTGTTTGACTTTAGATTTAAAATCTTTATAATTATAATTAAATAATGCAATAATAATCATTTATATATTGCTCTACCTGATGCCTGCATTCTACTATTGATAAATTCTAAAATTATTAAAATTAATGATTATAAATTAATGTAATGTCCCTACCTTGTACTGCTTGATTAGTATGTAGACCTGCATACACATACACTGATTTGATTAGCAAATTACTTTCTTTATGAATTCATTTTTACTAATTCTCCTTCACACAATTCAATTTCCTCTGCAACAATCTTTAGCTCCTATTATATTCATGTAAAGTTTCAAAATAATTTGTTGGTATACTTTGTTTCTGATGGTCCTATCATAGACAGTGCAGTGTCCTATTTTCAATCGCATCAAAGCAAATTCTTCTTGCAGCACAGTAAGATTATCACGAGCCCTCAATTGCAAAGCATTCATTAGATGAGTAGGAGCACCACAAATGATAACGATGGAGTTCCCTTTATGCATGCTTTTGACTATGATCCTTCTGCTCAATCCCTGGAATGCTTTCTCCATTAAACGACGAATATCATTCAATAAGTGCTCAGCAGGATCCCAGTCTAGAACAAACTCAATTGTTTCACAAACAAGAAAATTGTCTGTTGAAAGCTTTTTATTATTTAAGAATTGAAGTTTGAAAGTGTGGCAGAACTCATCAAGTGTTGCCTTATAATCAGATATCAATGGATTAGCTTCTGTTATACTGTAGAAGCTGACTACTTCCTCTACTGGTGCAATATTGATGACATTGCATTTTGTTTTGACAACTTTCATGACATCCTTAACTGTGGTAGCCATGACTAGTTGTGGGCTCAGGTCAGAGCAACAATAACTAATGTATTCTTTGAAATCTTCAAGCTGGTCTATAGTGCTATTAGTGGATACCAATCGAGTAACTTTAAAATAAAATGACCCATAATTCCATGTCATTTTGTCAAAGCAATCATTATAGATTTGTGTAATATAAAGTTGAATTTCTATAAATAGCATTTGTAACTCTAATTTATTATGAATAATTACCTGTTTGAGGCCTTGAAATATTACCTACATAGGGACATATAATTTGCTGCATGATATGTTTCATATGAAATACCTGAAGTAGGTACAGTTGCTTGGTCAGTTACAGGCTCATTAGTACTATCAGTCAAACTTTCAGTCACTATAACTTTCTCTGAAAAGAAGTTAAAGCCATAAGCTCGATGTATGGTACTTTAATACTTACCAATATCCTGTAGTAAATCATCGGCCATATTGACAGCGTCTTCTGTTTTACATAATATCTTAACAAATGATTTCAATTTGTTATGATCATAAGCTACTGCTGTGTATATTTCTCTCATTGCATCATCTATTAGTGTGTATCCACAATTCTTCACTCCCTCAA